CAATAGGGATCTTTTTCTACCTTTACTGTTAGTTCCTTAGGTGTTCTTCTGGCCATGGTGGCCAGAACAATCCAAGTTTATCAAATGTTTAGAAATCCTCAACTTATAGCCAGCAGGACTTTAACTGAATCGGGGACTCCTAGGGCATCAACTGGTATTTGTTGAGTCTGGCAAACAAAAAACCAAAATAAAACCCAATAACAACAACAACAACACAGAAGAGACTGCGCTTCTCTTTACCAACAGCTGCAGCTGATGCTGGGGGTTTTGTCCCTGCCGTCCCCTCCCTCAGCACGCGGAGGAGGGCCCAGCCAGCTGCCTGCGGAAGGCCTTTGGCCCCGCAGCGCCTCCACTGCCAGTGGCGTGGCTGATGCTACGTGGGTGTCGAGCTTTCACTTGCATGCTCCCTCTGCCCGTGGTATTTCTCCCCAGCTTTTTCTCCGCCTGCTCCTCGTGTGTCTTGACAGGATGGCTGGGAGAGGCCCCAGCCTGCCCCAGCAGGCACCTGCCTCCTGAGCCAACCCCCAACCCTGCAGTTGGCTCAAGCTTTTGCCCTCCAGGCTCCGAGAAACCTTCCAGAAGGGATTCAGCAGGAGGGGAGGGGTGGGAGAGGAGGAACCCTCGTTCCCTCAGCAATCTGGTTTTCTTTGGCCAAGCCCTTTGTCATGGGCATAATCGACGTATAGACAAGCTTCGTGGTGCGGGCCCAACAGGGAGATAGTGATCCTCAGCCTGCTCGTGTTAAAAATGTTCTTTGGAAACTGTCTCTGGAAGCCCTGGAGCCCGTGTTGTCCACTGACAAGGGCTGTCTCTGGACACTGACCCCTCTAATGGGCTGTCTCCAGCCAACAGACAGCACCGAGGCCAGAGCGCCGACTGTGGCGGCTGCCTCGCCCCGCGCCAGGGCCTGAGTCAGCGCCGTGTGGGCCGCAGGTCCCCTCGCCCTCGCCCTCGCCCCGCGCCAGGGCCTGAGTCAGCACCGTGTGGGCCGCGGGTCCCCTCGCCCTCGCCCTGGCTCAGCGGCCTGAGGGTGGGACAGATGCTGCGGCCTTGCCGTTTGAGGGGCTGCATCATTGACATGCCTCCATCCGACTTCCAAGAGCGCCCGATGCGCTCATGTTGGCTTTTGTTCTCAAAGATAATTTCCAGAAGTATTTACTGCAATAGAAACCTGTCATCTTTGTTTCCATCTTTAACTGTTAACTGAATTTTTTCCTCTTTAATCTTCACCCGAGGATATGTTTTCCATTGCTTTTCAGAGAGAGTGGAAGGGGGGAGAGAGAGAAACATCGGTGTGAGAGAGGCACATGGACTGGCTGCCTCCCGCACACACCCAGACTGGGGAGGCGATGGAGCCTGCAACCCCGGTAGGGGCCCTTGACCGGAATCGAACCCAAGATCCTTCAGTCTGCGGGCCGACGCTCTAACCACTGAGCCAAACTGGCCAGGGCTGTTCATTGAATTTTAATAAAACTTCAGGACACTGTCCATTTCTTAGATGACTGTCAGGAGGGCTGGGGCCCTTCATGCAGAATAGCTCTCCTGGCGAAAAGGCCTCGCCTCTGCAGACAAACCCAGCTGCTTTTAAAACATATCCTGTAAAAACTCGTCATATTCAAAGTCAAGATCCGATACAAACCCATGTTCCCTGAAGGCTTAAAAACATGTCTACTTATTAGCAGAACTCGAAAGTAAATCCTGTGGAGGTGGCACCTTTCGGGGCCATCATTTTCGGGCTTTAGCACGTGTTCTTTTCATGAATCCTAACCGAGCTCTGGCTTTGGGAGCCACGGCCAAGTGCTAGGGCCTGAAAGAAGAAAGCGAATTCCTGAGCTTAGTACAGTAGATGTCAAAGTACTTGAGGCCCCTTGAGCAAGACAGGAGTGGAGCAAGTGAGAAGGAAGCGGTTGGGTAATAGTCACTGCCCCAGAGCCAGACATGACAGGAAATGATTTGCATGAAAGTGAGATTGGTTATGACAAACTGCTTTGCATTACATGGGATTGGTCGCACCCACCCCGATGCAGGCCTTCCCTTGCACAGTGCGTTTTCTACTCAGAGAGGATTACCTAAAAGCGAGTTTCAGCAAGAAGCTGGGAAGGCCTCTCAGGGGGGAGGTCTGGCTGGCAGCGATCGGGAGCTCCCGGGCATTTGGCAGCAATGCACAGTGAGCAGAGGTGGAGCCCTCCTTCCAGGCGACAACGCCGGGAGCCGGAGGTGTCGCTGGGTGTCAGGAGCAGTAAGAGGAGCCAGTGTTCCAGTGAAGACGCAGAAACGGAAGCGGTGTGGAGCTCCAGCAGTTCATCTGCCCGAAGGAACGGGAAAAACAACTACTGGAAGTAGGAACTGAAAGTAGGTTGTCAATTGGCCTCGGCCTCCAGGGGGAGGCTCTCTTGGTTGAGGCCGTCTTCTCGCTGATGTTTTGTCACCTCAGCCGAGCCCAGCTCAGGAAGCTGGGTACTGAAACAGCTCCTGGGCTCTGCAGACATCTTCCCTGGTCCTCAAAGTGTCCAGTGGCTGCGTTGATGACCACCGACGACACTCCCACCTGGGTCTCCCACAACGTCTCCCACAGGGTCACAAGAGCAAAAGCACTTTCTTATGACCAAATGATTCAGCGTTATTCCCATGGGTGCTTGGACACGTTAACCAGATGGCACTAAGAAATGGCACTGTGGGGTAGAAGGAGCAGAGGAGATGTGAGATCAGCTCGGGCACACCACTCCAGGAAACCCCTAGGACAAGGGAGTGGGCCGGGCTTCTCACTTCCACCCTGGACATCCCAACCCACCATCACTCATTGGTCTGTCTACTGAACTCAAGTGAGTGTCTTTATGTGGAGATGCCTCCTTCCTTACTGACTTTATGCTCAAGTGATGCTTCCTTCCTTTTTTTAAAATATATTTTTATTGATTTCAGAGAAAGAGGAAGGGAGAGAGAGAAACATCAATGATGAGAGTCATTGATCCGCTGCCTCCTGCACGCCCCCTGCTGGGGATCGAGCCCACAACCCGGGCCTGTGCCCTGACCGGGAATCGAACCACGATCTCCTGGATCATAGATCAATGTTCAACCACTGAGCCACGCTGGCCGGGCTCAAGTGATGCTTTCTTAATCATTTCCTAGTGTATCTTCAAGACCTGACCCCACTCTATGATTCCCAAATTGCTCCAAACCCTTCATACCTTCTTACTGCCCAGGAGCCCACCCGCACCCTGCTCAGCTTGTTGGAAATAGGAGATAGTGTCTTCGGGGCTTCCCGGAGGCTGGAAGAAATTCTTGAGCAGAGGCTGGGGGAGCACTGTGACCCGGAGACCAGGTGAAATTCTGTTCGCTTTGAAGCTGGTTTGGTGTAAAGGGAAGATAAGCATCTTCCCTAAAATTGTATTATGGTCGATTGTTTCTGGGATTGTAAACATTCTTCTTGATGCTGTTATCTCCTAAACCAACTTAAAGAAATATAAAGCCATAGGTCTCCAACTCAGAAAACCATTTTTTCCCCTACTTTAAAATTAAATTTATTTGGGTCAATTGGTTAATAACCTTATATAAATTTCAGCTGTACAACTTTATAATACATCTGTGTGGACGAAAAGGGGCCAAATGCTAAACCCGACAAGCTCAGGAAAGGCCTGCATGGGGGCCTTGCAAACACAGAGACCTAAAAGGAACCACAAAGGATGGTCTGAAATTAAAACTTTTTAAAACTAAAAACAGGTAGTCCTCTCCTATGGCAGTGTTTTTCCTTAACAAAAAGGTTAATTTTCACCTTAACTAAGCCTGGCGGGTTGTCTTTTTGGCATCTGAGAGAACATACCTGATTTACATGCCTTTGCAAAACAAAGTACTGTCCCCCCCCAATGCACCAGGGCAGAGACCACAGATCCTCATTGCTTTTGTTACCTTGTTAACTGTTGACTGTTAACTATCCTGTACCCACCCACGTGAAAGTACAGTCTGTCATTTTACTTTTTATCCAATCCCAGAGTTTGCCCCCCACTTTGCTTTTTCCCACCTCCCAATCACCAACAGATTTCATGTAACCTACTTACGTCTCCTCTTTTTGATCGAAATGTACAAAGCAAGACGCAAAACTGCCATTCTCCGGAGCATTATCTCAATCTGTTGAGATTTTGCTTCCCAGCAATTTTCAACAGTTTGGCTCAAATAAACTCACAAAAATTCTTCACGGGCCTGAATGTTTCTTACGTTAATATCTGTGTATACTCTTACCGTGTGCTCACCACGGTCTAGTCTCCTTCCATCACCTTGCATTTGACCTTCTTTACCGCTCTTCTTCCCCTCTGGTAACCAACCACCATTCAGTTGTCTGCATCTATGTGGTTTTTGTTTTGTGGTTTTCTGTTTTATAACCCGCATGTGAATAAAATCTATGGTTCTTGTCCTTTTCTGTCTTATTTCACTTAGCATAACTCTCAAGATCCATCCATGTTGTTACCAAAAAAATCCATCTTTTTAATGGCTGAGTAGTATTCCATTGCATATACGTATCACACCTGTTAACCAACCATCCATCAAAGGACACTTGGGTTACGTGTATGTCTTGGCTATTGTGAACAACGCTGCAATGAACATAGGAGTACATATATCTTTGTAAGTAAGTGTAGAAAACCTTTTAAATATCTGACTTATTTCTACCATAGGTGGGACAGGTGGTGTCCACGTATTGGAGGGTGCTCCTGGCAACGCCACCTATAAAGTAGTGAGGGAAACAGGACGGGGCAGAGGAGGAAGCCGAACTATCACGCAGCTGCCAGAGGAGCTGACCGATTCCACAAGGAACTCTGAAGTTGGGGTGGCCTTTCAGATACCCTAAGTTGGGGCAGGGGGATTGGGCTTTGTACCCCCTCACTGGCTGCAATTCCTTGGGGAGGAACTCAGCAGTGGGGGGAGTGTCTCGGTCCTAAAGGAGGGGGAGCTAGGCAGGGCACCACAATACCCACTAACCCCCTATCCGCCGGCTAATAATGAGACCAACATTATTTTAAATGTTTATTTTTTTCTATAGTGCATCTCATTCAATCATACAAGCCTGATACATTATTTTTCCCTCTCAAGCACAAACGATCCTCATTTTGGAAGCTTTTCCTTTCTTTCCTTCTTTTAACCTTACAGGATGGACAAAGATACTCACACTTTAATGGACAAAAACATCACTCAGAGTTTATTAAAAGTACAGCTTCCCAGGCCCCACTCCCGAGCACCCGAGTGTCTGGGAACGGGCCCTAGGGGTGCAAAACGTTAACCCCCACCCCCAGCCCCGTCAATTCCGCTGCGGGTGGTCCTCGAACCATCTTTCGAAGAACACGGCTTAGGACTTGTCTGTTATTTATTGGAAGCAATTTCAGAAAATCCAGGAATAATTAAGTATACAGAAATAGCTCTTCTATAAAATTTCCATATAAAAATAACGGTATTTATTTACAAAGTTTGAGATGCTACAAAATAATACATTGTATTGGGTTAGGTACTCCAATCTAATAAAGTCTACTTTAGGCAAGTCAGATGTGGTGTTTGCATTTCCCCCTTATTTCGCTTTTTTAAACTGCTTAGAGCATGTGGCACCAGGATGTTTCCTTCATGCAGGAAAAAAAAGCAGAACTATATTTTCTGGAAATAAAACCTAACAGCACGTGATCAGAGTAAAGGCTCTCCAAATGAGAAAGTTAGCGAACAGCGACCTGGGCCCACGGCCGTTTCCTTTTTCGTCTGAAGTCAAGTGTGACGGGGGTAAAGGGAACGCCCCCAGGAACAGACTGAACTGTGTCCCCAGCTCGGGCTCCGGAGCGGCCAGTGCAGTCGGCCGGGTGGGATTTCCACTTTACAGGACACGGCAGGGTTGGACCTGTCATGGTACTACTGGGAAAAAGAGCGGCAACTGCTCAGAAGTGTTTAGCAGAAGAGTGTCTGGGTCCTCAGGAGAGCTTTTAGTATGAAAAAAAAATCTGACTTCAGTCGTGAACAAGCAGAATCAGGCCATCTGTCATTAGACGATGCCTGACATGTGAAGGTGACATAGGTAAGTGACACTATGATGCGTTTTAAAACCCAAACGTGATCTGGGGAAGCTTCCTTATGTTGAGATAGACATGAAGGGAAGCAAATGCGGTAGAGAAAGGTATTGGTAACTTAACCTCAAGCCCCTGCCAGTGACCAGTGTGCGAGTCTGTGCCACGGAGGAGCTTCTTCCCAAGTGTGTCTAAACCCGGGGTCTTCTGAGTTGAGAGAGACCCAACGCGGACGCCACAGCCTCAAGAGCAAAGTCCCACGCCTACTCTGGCTGTTTCACACTTGGTGTGACAGGGCTGATGCTAATCCCAAAGCCACCCGGGAGGACAGCGCGGAGGGAGTGGCTTTCAGGAAGCGACGTGGTCCTCCCAGGAGGAAGGGACTGGGGGGGGGTGCAGGCTTGGCCACGCAGGCTGGGGGGTGGTAGACAAGTGACGCCTTAAGAGTGGGGCGGAGAGATGTTCTCTCGCGCTCAGGCCCTCGGTGAAGGGGCGAGTCCTGCCCTTACTTTCAGCTACATCGACCCCTATGCAGCGAGGAGCGGGGAGACAGGCTCAGAGGCCGACCTGCTGGAACGGCAAGTTGTCAGCCCTCCAGGCCTTTTGTAAAGCAAAGGCCGCGTAAGAATGAGACAAGGGTTCACCCCACCTGAGAGCCGCAGCACAAAATACAAAGGGAGGGCACCTTCTCCCGTCTCTGCTCCCAGTTAAACTCCTGTGCTTGTCAGGGATTCCCGGGGCCCAACTGGAGGGTCAGTTTTGCACCCCCACCTTTTCTTCCTGAGCATTCTGTGCGTGGAGAGGTATGTGGGAAACCTGGATCCTGACGTTTATCTAAGCATAACTTTTTAGAGATATCTTGGTTGTGTAAAGGGGCTAATTCCTGAGAAATACTGTGATTTGTGTGAATATTTAGTTCAAATTTTTTAAGGTAAAATTTTAAGCAAATATCAGCCTTTTTTCTTTAGCGTTTGGCTTCAGTGGAAGTTAAACTAAGTGGACATCGTATCGACCGTGAATCAGAGGGCAGGGAGGCACATTTCCGAGGGCCCCTCCAACGGCGAGGCGCGGGGCCCTGGCAGGCACTGCGGGTCTGCGGCAGATTCATACGGACGGTCATCAGTGCTTGGGAAATGCTCCGGGTGCATGAAACGGGGAACCTATTTGGGAAAATGGTCCTCACGTCGTCTTTAGCTGTACTGACCCCACTACATACGCAGAATAAAATACCTTTCATGTGTCTAATACAAAAAGATCTTTGTGTCTTCAATAACATAGAGCTAGAAGAAAACACCTAGAAAAGGGGTTACTTTCCCACCTTTAGACTGGAAGGGAAGGACGCCGAGAACTTCATGGGGTAGGACCTTCGCTTGGCTACGGGCACTGCTGGCCGCTGCCTGGCCGCCCCCGACCGGAGCAGCCTTCTGCCCACTGTCCATCGCCCTGTCCTTTCTCTCCACAGCACTCATCCGCCCGAATGCTTTCTGTTCAAATACTTACTGAAGGGCTAAATCTTTATATGCACGGCTAAGGCAGCACCTTCTAACGTCCACCTCACAGATTTTTGGGGTTGGGACACACCTTTTATCTACCTGAAGGGAGTTAGATAGGTATTTAAAGGGTCTTTGAGGCGAATCACTGATAAAACTAATTTGTGGTCTCTCTGCGAGTGTGGCTACGGTAGAAACAGCTGAGGCGGTTCCCTTGCTTTGCTGACCCTGCCCCCGGGCACCCCACCCCCACCCGGTTCTGACCGTCCCAGGCACCTAAGTTACAACTGTCCTCGGAGCAACTTGGCTGCCTCCACAACCCAAGCAGCCAAGGGTCGTGGTTCAGCAAACGGCCGAGGTATGGAGGTCTGCATGTACACTGAGCCCTCCTGTGGACTATCTCCAGGTGGATGGCCTGACGGGGGCTAATTTGTGTTTGAGGACTGAGCCGGTATTATTATTTTTCAAACGTGGCAGGGTGTGGTTTCCACTGTAAATTCTGCTAATGAGGGGAGTTACTCTTTCATCCTGTTAAGATGGCAGAAGCCAGTTTTCACCCCACCACTTCTATACAGAATTAAATGGAAGGAAACAAAACACATGGCATCACTGTCAAGTTTCAGAGGGGCAGCGGGCATGGCGGAGAGGTGAGAGGTCACTGAATTGGCGCCTCCGTTCCTGCCCCCTCGCTGAGGTCCGCTGAGGTCCCCCAGGACCGTAAGGCACAGTTTATGTCAACACTTCCTGAAGGTGCTTTCGTCACCTAGTCATCGCAGGAGAAGATCACAGTGGGGGAAGAGCAGGGGAGCCTGGTGAGCACTGCCCTTCCCACGTAAGGGTCAAGCATGGCAGGCAGGCACCACCACACAGGTGCTAATGGAGCAAGAAGGTACTGACCGAAGGGTGCAATGCACTTGAAAGGGTAACAGTAAACTGACCCCGGAGGGGAAAAGGTCCCTCAAACTTCCCCAAGTCAGAGTGTGACCCACACCCTCTGGGAGGGGTGTCTTTTTTCCTGCACACATGTGCGCAAATAACCCCAAGTGCTACTCCTATAAAGATGCCTGGATGTTGTCATCACAATTTCCTAACTGTTTTTCACTTTGATTTTTATACGAAATTGTGCCTGAGTGCTGAGCTGTAGACCTAGATCATCTGTTTAGGGGAGATATGGAAGAATAACAGGATTTATCTTTCTAAACACCTCAGCCTAGCGTTCTGCTCAGTTAAGGCTTCACACCAGCGATGTGCACTGACGGCCACAGTGAGACTGTTATTAGGTGTCCTCAGCAGTGACCCCAAACATTACTGAGGAACAGAGGCCATTTCCGGTCAAACACTGCACACCTATGGCTGGCCGGCCAAGGGTGGGGCCAATAGTAATGAGTCTTTGGTTGCTTTCTCTTTTAAACCCATGTTTTATCCATTTAAAGCACTATAGCAGCAGTAGCAGGACAGAGAGAGGAGAGAGCAGTTTCCCAAAAACTCCCACGGATTTTGCTACTTGGTAGAGGACAGGTCATGACTAACGTACCTGTCATGAATGTCGGTGTACGGGTTTTGGGACCTGTAGTACAATAGCTTGAAGACTATAAAGCTGGCTGTGGCCCTTGGTCTCTCCAGGTCCCCCTTCAAGCAAGGAGATGGGAAAGGCAGGGGGTGGTAAAGGGGGGGGGCCTCAAAGGGCAGCCTGGAAGGGAGCCTGGTTTACTGTCTGCAGCTGACGATCTTCTGGTCAGTGTTCCCCGATCTTCTAGTCAGTGTTCCCCAAGGCCCAGGGAGACCTGCCCGGCCTTTGCAGTTTCAGGCTCCGCCCACCTGCCCAGCCTAAGAGATGTGTCCCCAAACTCAGGCTCAGGCAGAATTCTCTCAAAACTGCCTCTCTCTCTCTGCCCCCTTGAACACTCTGAGTCTGCACTATGGCTTATTTCTGACAGAATGAGTTTTGTCTCAAAGAAACTTAAAGTTGTATGTTTCAGTGTATTTGTTTCTACGGCCTAACCAAACTTTAGGTCAGCCAGGTCCTTCGCCCCCAGCTCACCGTAGGCACAGGGGCAGAGCTGTACAAGGGATCAGGAGGCATCTACTCTTACCCTACGGGATTGAGGAAGGAACAGATCGGGGCTGAGCTTGGTGCTGGGCCCAAAGATGCTAGATGCACAATCTAGGGGCCAAGCCAAATGACTCAAGACAAAGACGCAGAGTTAGTTTTCATTATTATTTGCTACTTTCAAGGCCTTGCTGTGGAATTAAGTTGGGGTTTGGCCATGGTGGCAGATGTCTCCACGCTCCTCTGTTCAGGGGAGCAGGAGCTGCGAACACGCCAGCAGTGTTCCTGGCGGCATCTTTGGCTATGAAACAATATACTATCGACTGCACGACTATAAACCCAACATTTGGAGAGTTCGCCATTTTTCAGCTGTTTCTGTGAAACATGACATCAGGTTAGTTTGAAACGCAGTTTACCCAGGAATAAGCTTTAAGGTCATTTTGATGAATGAAAACATATAAAAGGTGACATGGTCAGGAAAACAGTGCTGTTCGTATTCTGGAAAGACTTCGCTTTTCAAAGTAATGACATTTGGTTCATTTCCATCAATTGCACACTGGGTGAAATCACACAATTACTGCGGGGACCTGTAAGCAAGCAATTCGGTCAGAGGAGTTCGCCCCTTTGTTTTAAATGAAAACGCCGTATGAAATGCATAGCTCTGACTCAAACTATAGGTACAATTTCCTTCTCTGTAAAACCCCAGATTTAGAAGGCTGGCAAAAGGCAGTGCTGGCAAAGTATTTAACGCATGTGGAATGCTATTCTACTTTGGCTTCCAGAAGTAGCCCTAAAAAATTCTATGCACCAATGCATTGGCTAACAACAATCCTTTCAGTTTTACTATAAATTATTCTAAATGTCACTTAAGTACTTAAGAATTAGCTCGCGCTCCTTTCTAGAAGCCGTCTAAGGCCGCCGATGCGTAAAGCACCTCCACTAGACCTTCAACTACTAGCTCAGCAGTGCAGCCCGTGTCCCTGAGGCCAAGGACTGCCACCTGCCTCCTCGCTGGACCGCTCGCCCCACCGGGAGCTTTTCACGCTCATTCATGCCCGGTAAGGCGAGAAGCGTGAGAAACCTGATCACCGAGGCCTGTTCACTGTAGCCAGGTAGCGATCCTAGTTCTAAGGGGGGTTACGTGGGTGTGGGGAACAGAGAGATCCCACCTCTTGGAAGATAAATGAGCTTCGTTCGTGCTGCCCAGTTCTCCCGGGACTGTCCCCACTGTCACCTCAGAGGGCTCGCTTTGTCTGAGAGGTGACCTATTGCCCTACTGTTCAGAGTTGTCATTCACACTACGTTAACTTTCATCTCAATCTGTGTCAGCCTGCGTGTAATTCGCGTATTGTGTTTCCCTAGTTTTCACTGAACGCACAGTGCAAACAGAGGCAAGGACTGAAGCAATCATTTCAAAAAACAAGAGCTCACACTAAAAACACACATGAGCATCGAACAGGAAAGCGTGGGCTGCGTCCTGTCTTTATTCTGGGGAGGAGGGGTCCTCCTCCTCTTCGTCATCGTCGTCATCGTTGAACGAGCAGGGCGTCTCGCCTCGGGACTCGGAGCCGTGAGAGGCAGCGCTACTGGACTGGTGACTGTTTGGGGCAAGGAGCTGCCCAGTTGCTAAGGCCACTTCAGCATCCAAGCATAACCCCTGGTTTACACTAGCAAACAATTAAAAACACACAGGCTCATTAATGTGGCACGTGTTTTCGGCTCCATATGACACAGGACTGACGCATGGGAAAGGAGGTGCCACTGGGGAGCTCTGCCAAGACCTGCGCAGGGCCTGCGCGGGCAGGGACTCGCCGGCGCGCCCCTCCGGAGGGCAGGGCTCCGTGGCTGGCCTTTCTGGCCCTGAAACAATACGTACCTTGATTGGGACAAGGGGGCACCGGCGGTCAGGTCTAAATTGGAAACTGACTGGGTAGAGTTCAAGAGCAGTCCCTGATTTAACCACGAAGGTCCTGTGGAGATATCTACAGGGAGAAACAGAAACAGAAGGCGTGGGTTCTGCGGCCCTGGCTGCTGCTGCCCCCGTGGGAAGACGGCAGACCAGTGGGGGCATCAGCGTGCTCTCAGCTACAGCCCCCCAAGTCTCCTGCCCTGGGAAGAACCCAGGTTTCTTTGGCTGGGGGAAAATTTTCTAAAACATAAGAGCAGAAAAAAATAATACAGGAAGGCAGACTGGAGCAAGAAAAGAATTCAGATTAAACCAACGGCGGACTCTCGGTCCCGCTTCTTCAGTAAGGCCTCAGAGGCCGCTCGCTGAGGACGGCAACACTGACTGTCCCGGGCACGTGCCGCCCTCACCACGGAAAACCCAGGGCTCTGACTGCGGGGCTAACAGCCAAGGCCAGCAGGGGCAAGAGAAAGGCAACTCGGAAACATCGGGGGTACAGAGGGCAGACACATTTTTGTCCAAACCCCCATGTTTTCAAGGGCCCCCTGCTGAACTCAGTGCTATTAGTCATCAAAGACCTATTCTTTCTCCTGGTGGCATTTGCTTATAACTCAAACTAGCTCTTATTTTAAAAGGTCACAAGCATTCATGCTTTTAACAAGGGTGAGACAGGCATTACTGTCCAGTCTGCATAAATATTCTGGATATATCCTTTCAATGCGAGTTTCTATGCATACACTCTATTTCTCCTAGCACAACCTTGATCAATTCTTACTGTAATTTCACGTGTTTAATGCTTCTCTCCTCATCTAGAAAGTTAGCTCAGAGAAGGCAGCAACAGGAACATATGAAGATCTCGATGCTACTGAGTGAAGGAGGACAGTCTCTTTCAATAGTGAGTTTACAAAGTAGGTGATACACATATTAGAAATACGTTCCTAAAAAGAAATTCTTAGAATTACATTATAAGACCGAACGTACACTCAGAAAATGTAATTTGCCAAAATGAGCTCTTATCATATTTAATAAAAATAGTTTCTTAATTACTGTGCAAAAAATAGAAACCCGTGTGTGCTGGGACTGGAAACTGCTCTCCAGGCACTGTCGGGCCGCGTGAAACAACCCTACAAGGACAAAGTCAACTAAATGTCTACACCGGCGTTAGAATGGCCTTGGGAGCTTCTTCACAGGCTAAGGCAGCTGTGAGAACAGAACTTCAATTCTAAGAACAGCAGACTTTAAGTACATTAAGTAACAAGTCTGTACACGAGAAAATTAAAGCCAGGATCCTGTGCTGAATATTAATTAGTATATATGGAAACTCTGTCAGAGCACAGCCATTTTCTTGCTTGTGAGAATAACACATTAAACTGTCTTTTCACAATGGCTTTGAAAAGCCCAAGTTTCTTTCACATTATCACAGAAACCACACAATGGCTCTCACCGTCCTACTCAAGAGCCCTTCTGTCCCTCCGCACACTAAAGGCACACGTTTCTTCTCTTGAACTAACTAGAGTCTGTGCCCCAGGCTGCCGATGAGGTCACGAAGAGATAAAAACCACAGAGCCTGCCTAATCGCCCGGAGCTTTTACAATGAGAATAGGCTAAAATAGAGCTNCCGGGAGCTTTTCACGCTCATTCATGCCCGGTAAGGCGAGAAGCGTGAGAAACCTGATCACCGAGGCCTGTTCACTGTAGCCAGGTAGCGATCCTAGTTCTAAGGGGGGTTACGTGGGTGTGGGGAACAGAGAGATCCCACCTCTTGGAAGATAAATGAGCTTCGTTCGTGCTGCCCAGTTCTCCCGGGACTGTCCCCACTGTCACCTCAGAGGGCTCGCTTTGTCTGAGAGGTGACCTATTGCCCTACTGTTCAGAGTTGTCATTCACACTACGTTAACTTTCATCTCAATCTGTGTCAGCCTGCGTGTAATTCGCGTATTGTGTTTCCCTAGTTTTCACTGAACGCACAGTGCAAACAGAGGCAAGGACTGAAGCAATCATTTCAAAAAACAAGAGCTCACACTAAAAACACACATGAGCATCGAACAGGAAAGCGTGGGCTGCGTCCTGTCTTTATTCTGGGGAGGAGGGGTCCTCCTCCTCTTCGTCATCGTCGTCATCGTTGAACGAGCAGGGCGTCTCGCCTCGGGACTCGGAGCCGTGAGAGGCAGCGCTACTGGACTGGTGACTGTTTGGGGCAAGGAGCTGCCCAGTTGCTAAGGCCACTTCAGCATCCAAGCATAACCCCTGGTTTACACTAGCAAACAATTAAAAACACACAGGCTCATTAATGTGGCACGTGTTTTCGGCTCCATATGACACAGGACTGACGCATGGGAAAGGAGGTGCCACTGGGGAGCTCTGCCAAGACCTGCGCAGGGCCTGCGCGGGCAGGGACTCGCCGGCGCGCCCCTCCGGAGGGCAGGGCTCCGTGGCTGGCCTTTCTGGCCCTGAAACAATACGTACCTTGATTGGGACAAGGGGGCACCGGCGGTCAGGTCTAAATTGGAAACTGACTGGGTAGAGTTCAAGAGCAGTCCCTGATTTAACCACGAAGGTCCTGTGGAGATATCTACAGGGAGAAACAGAAACAGAAGGCGTGGGTTCTGCGGCCCTGGCTGCTGCTGCCCCCGTGGGAAGACGGCAGACCAGTGGGGGCATCAGCGTGCTCTCAGCTACAGCCCCCCAAGTCTCCTGCCCTGGGAAGAACCCAGGTTTCTTTGGCTGGGGGAAAATTTTCTAAAACATAAGAGCAGAAAAAAATAATACAGGAAGGCAGACTGGAGCAAGAAAAGAATTCAGATTAAACCAACGGCGGACTCTCGGTCCCGCTTCTTCAGTAAGGCCTCAGAGGCCGCTCGCTGAGGACGGCAACACTGACTGTCCCGGGCACGTGCCGCCCTCACCACGGAAAACCCAGGGCTCTGACTGCGGGGCTAACAGCCAAGGCCAGCAGGGGCAAGAGAAAGGCAACTCGGAAACATCGGGGGTACAGAGGGCAGACACATTTTTGTCCAAACCCCCATGTTTTCAAGGGCCCCCTGCTGAACTCAGTGCTATTAGTCATCAAAGACCTATTCTTTCTCCTGGTGGCATTTGCTTATAACTCAAACTAGCTCTTATTTTAAAAGGTCACAAGCATTCATGCTTTTAACAAGGGTGAGACAGGCATTACTGTCCAGTCTGCATAAATATTCTGGATATATCCTTTCAATGCGAGTTTCTATGCATACACTCTATTTCTCCTAGCACAACCTTGATCAATTCTTACTGTAATTTCACGTGTTTAATGCTTCTCTCCTCATCTAGAAAGTTAGCTCAGAGAAGGCAGCGACAGGAACATATGAAGATCTCGATGCTACTGAGTGAAGGAGGACAGTCTCTTTCAATAGTGAGTTTACAAAGTAGGTGATACACATATTAGAAATACGTTCCTAAAAAGAAATTCTTAGAATTACATTATAAGACCGAACGTACACTCAGAAAATGTAATTTGCCAAAATGAGCTCTTATCATATTTAATAAAAATAGTTTCTTAATTACTGTGCAAAAAATAGAAACCCGTGTGTGCTGGGACTGGAAACTGCTCTCCAGGCACTGTCGGGCCGCGTGAAACAACCCTACAAGGACAAAGTCAACTAAATGTCTACACCGGCGTTAGAATGGCCTTGGGAGCTTCTTCACAGGCTAAGGCAGCTGTGAGAACAGAACTTCAATTCTAAGAACAGCAGACTTTAAGTACATTAAGTAACAAGTCTGTACACGAGAAAATTAAAGCCAGGATCCTGTGCTGAATATTAATTAGTATATATGGAAACTCTGTCAGAGCACAGCCATTTTCTTGCTTGTGAGAATAACACATTAAACTGTCTTTTCACAATGGCTTTGAAAAGCCCAAGTTTCTTTCACATTATCACAGAAACCACACAATGGCTCTCACCGTCCTACTCAAGAGCCCTTCTGTCCCTCCGCACACTAAAGGCACACGTTTCTTCTCTTGAACTAACTAGAGTCTGTGCCCCAGGCTGCCGATGAGGTCACGAAGAGATAAAAACCACAGAGCCTGCCTAATCGCCCGGAGCTTTTACAATGAGAATAGGCTAAAATAGAGCTGTGGTGATTTATTGAGTAAGCCCTTTCCTTAGACCCTGGGCTGCCGGCAGGCCTGGGCTGCCAACACAACAGCAGGTCCCGCTCTGGGAGAGAGCAGGGAGAAGGGAGCCGCTGGGGGCCCTGGGGGGCGGGGAGGGGGTGATACAGGCCGAGGGGCAAGAGGATGGGGTCACATTTGTAGCAGGTGGGAGATGCCAATTTAAAAACTAAATCCAACAGAAACCAAATCTCATTCAACAGATACTTAGTTGTGACCAAAGGGCCAAAACCATAAAACAAAACAAAATAAAAACAACCTCTTTGCTTATATTTGATTTAATATACCTTAGAACTTAGTAAAATGCCTTTAAAAAGTGATGTGCAATTCTAGGAGGTAATACTTATAATGAAGGAAATTGTTCAAAGCAAAGGCGGAAGCACTGTTTCTACATCCAAATTCTATGTGTAGAATATACCGTAGTCTTAGTAAGTCAGGGCAATCATAAAGATTTCTGAATTAGCCCTGGCCGCTGTGGCTCAGTTGGTTGGTTTTGGTCCCATGCACCAAAAGGTTACTGGTTCAATTCCCAGTCAGGGCACATGCCCAGGTTGCAGGTTCAATCCCCGATAGGGGGTGTGCAGGAGGCAGCTGATTGATGTTCTGCTCTCACATCCATATTTCTCTCCCCCTTTCCCTTTTTCTCTCTCTAAAAATCAACAAAAATATTAAATTAAAAAAGATTTCTGAATTAGTGAAAGAAAAAAAACCTGAATCACAGAGCATGGGAAACATAGTGTTTTTGTTTTCAAGTATACTCAGTATATATTTATAACTCATAATAAAAAAGGTAAAGAGCCCAATTTAAAAATGAGCAAAGGATCTGAATAGATATTCTCCAAGGAAGATATACAAATGGCAATAAGCACATGAAAAGATGCTCACATCATTAGTCACTAGGGAAATGCAAATCAAAACCACGGTGAAACACCACATCTACTAGCATGGCTGTAATAAAAAAGGTGGGCAATATCAAGTGTTTAGGAGGACGTGGAAAGACGGAAACCCTCACACATTGCCAGGAGGACTGTAAAATGGTACAACTGCTTTGGAAAATAGTTTGGCAGTTCCTCAAAATGTTAAATACAGAGTCACCACATGATCCAGCAATTCTGCTCCTAGGTATACACCCAAGAGAACTGAAAACTTATGTTCACACAAAAACCTGTACAAGAATGTTTATAGTAGCATCATTCAGGGGAGCCAAACAGTGGAAACAATCCAAATGTCCTCCGAGTAACGGATAAGCAAAATGTGGTGGGTCCATACAACGGCAATAAGAAGGGATGAAGTAATGACTCATGCTACAGCATGAGTGAATCTTGGAAACGTGATGCTAAATAAGCCAGTCACAAAGGCCACATATTATATGATTCCATTTACATGAATTGTCTAGAATGGACAAAACCAGAGTGACAAAAAGTAGATTAGTGGTTGCCATGAGCTGGCAGGAATGGGGGGCAGGGAGTGATTGCTAATGTGTATGAGATTTCTTTTGGGGGGGTCATAAAAATGTTTTAGAATTAGTGGTGACAACTGCACAACCTTGTGAATATACTAAAAACTACTGAATTATACACTTTAAAATGGTGTATTTGGTGGTGTGTTAATTACATCTCAATTTAAAAAAATTACAATACCATTTCACATCCACCTGACTGGGAAAACAGAACATGTCCACTCCACAGGTGAGAGCGTAACTTGGTGAAAACAAACTGAAAACTTGTGGCACTGTCTAGGAAAGCTGCAGATGCACCCGCCTCTGACCCAGCGATCTCGCACGTCACACCTGCACGTGGTCACTGGGGTCTACTTGCAGGAGTGTTCAAATGAGCACTGGTCTTGTTTCTTTTAGTTTTGACCCTCACCCAAGGATATTTTTTCCATTGCTTTTCAGAGAGAGTGGAAGTGGGGGAGAGAGAAAGAGAGAGAGAGAAACATCGATGTGAGAGAGACACATCGACTGGTTGTCTCCCTAATACGCCCTGACCGGGGGCAGGATCGAGCCTACAACCGAGGTACGTGCCCTTGGCTGGAATCGAACCCGGGACCCGTCAGACCATGGGCCAACACTCTAACCACTGAGCCAGACTGGCCATGGTGTAAAGGAACAGTTTTTTAATATCTAGGAAATTAAAACAAAATTAAAGGCTTATCATTAGTACAATGAACAAAGAAACTGTGATATTTTCACATAATGGAATTCTATTCAGCAGTAAAAATATACGAATTACAGTAACATCAAATCATTTGGGCAAATCTAAAGAACATAATGTTGAGTAAAAAAGTAATAAAATCGCCCAAAACATATCACGATGAGTCCATTTATATCGAGGTCAGGGATGGCAAAACTGAATTGTTTCCAGTTTACTTTGTGTTTGCATCTTAAAGAAAAGCAAGTGACACACAAGAAATTCAAGAGAGCGGCTGCATTTAGAGAAGCGGGAAAGGATTCAGAGTCAAGGACGGGCATACAAGAGACGTGACTAATTTTCTATGAGAAAAGGAGAAAGGTTTGACATACGGAATCAGGCAGAGCATGTGAGAGCGTCACAACATACCTGTGATATAACCTTCTAAAGCCTTTGGCACCAGCGACTTAGCAAGTTTCAGATCCTCCAGAGAGCATTTGCCTGACTCAAGGCCAAAGGACATTCCCATCCGCTTCAGCACTTCTATGTCATCATGGATCTCAAAGGTGTTGTCAAAATTGAAAAGATATTCAAACCTGTATCAGGAAACAAAGTTGGCACGGGGTTTTCCACGGTGTTGGGGAGGTCTAGAGAGTTCCATATTCTGTGTATCCCATAAAGGAATGAGGGCCTAAGTACTAGAAACTGTCGCCGTTTACAGCAATAAGGGTCATTCTGCTGTGCGCAGGAGATGACATCTCAAACACACCACTTCCCCAATTAAAACAGTTTTCCTGTGACAGACAAAAGGCGTCCCATAAGCTTTAGCCCTAATTAAGCCACTGCAAACCGGAGACAGAAATTCTGGTCTAAATCCAGTACTTTTCAACGTTGGCTACAACTTTGTCACAAAAGATAAAAATATTAAGAAAGCCTCCAGTGTACTATAACTCTACTATGAGTTGGCCTATTAGGATTGAGGAGAAAACATTTTGGACGCTTACTTCATTATTTTCTTGAGTCAAGTGTTAGCTACAGCACACTTTAGTTTAGATAAGCAATAAATGGAAAACTTCACAAACTAACCAATCCCCAAATCCTGTCTTGAGGAATTAGTAGTAAAATGTCTTTAGAAAAAAATGTCATATATAATGCAGAGCAAATTTCCAAACGTTCTTTAAAAATACCAAATCAGGATGTGCAGCTGCCCAGCGCAAGCTTTCAATAAAGAGGTGAATGTAGGAAGAAACAGCCCCTTCTGACTTCTAGGCTAGGCCCTAGGGCACCTTCACCCACAGGCCTCAGATTCACAGGGACAGCGTATAGGTGAATTTACCATGTCCTAAAATTCTCTCTATTAAAATCATGTGAGGGTAAAACTTTTTATGCTAGATCTTAGGTGAGGGCAAAAATGATAATTTCAAGCAGGGGTGGGGGACCTTTTTTCAGCCAAGGGCTATTTGGATATTTATAACATCATTTTCAGGCATACAAAATTATTGTTGCTATGAAAAAAGCTCCTTGATTTATTGGATTTCTAGTCCCACCTGCGGTTGCCTTGGCAGGGCCAGACCAAATGATTTATAAGGCCTGAGGGCTATACATTCCCCACCTCTGATTTAAAGCAAAATACCATATTTAAATAATTAAGTATATACACTTGAATAAAGTACATCAACAGGCTTTCAGAATTAAAAAATCAAAAGTGGGTGCCTGCCACAGAGATGATTTCAGGCATACATTAAAAGCAGACGGTTCTGTCAATTTAATCCTCATAGTGGGAGAGCTGCCTGGCTAACCGAGGGGAGAAGACTGCATCACCGAAGTAACTGAAAGACGGGCTTTAGGGCCGACCTTGAATAACAAACTTCTACAGGCTTCGTAAAAGTCTCCTTCCCTCCACCCGGGGGAGGGCCCAGAAGAGCATGAGTCAGTTGCCACCCAAGGACGGAAACCTTACCAGACCCCGGCTGGAGGTGACCGGCGGCCACAAGGCCCTTAGGCCCGTGACCCCCCGATTTCCTGCTACTCCTTTACAACACTTAACATTTTTTCATTGCTTGCTTTGAGTCCAACCCTTCCCAGGCATCATCTCATCTAATCCTCACCACAGGGCTAGGAAGCGACAGAGGCCTGGTATCATCTCCATTTGTTCTTCGGAACACAGGGCTACAGAGCAGTTAAATGGGGGAGCATCACCCACACTCGGTCCGTCTCTCTCTGCGCCCGATTCCCTTAACTAGCTCATGATACCGGTCACAGCCTGAAGGGCGATGGTATCAACTATTTTCATGAAGGGTAAAACAAGTTACACATTAATCCTGCATTATCTATCGGTGGATGAATGGATCAAGGAAATGTGATATATATACAATGAAATACTCAGCCATAAAACAAGAAGGAAACTCTGCCATTCGTGACAACATGGATGGATCTTGAGGGCATTATGCCCAAATCAAACACTGAATGATCTCACTTTATGTGGAATCTAAAAAGACCCGAACTCAAAGATACAGAGAGTAGATTGGTGGTTGCCAGAGATGGAGGTGTGGGTGCAAAATAGATGAAGGTGGTCAAAAATGTTAACTTCCAGTTATAAGATAAATTTTAAAAAAAGAAAGCATAGAACGCATCTAGCATTTTCATGCCTATTCATCCATTCATAAGCGGAAGCCCACTCAATTATGATAGAGCAAAACGTTGATCTAAAATATTTCCCCAGTAAACTATGACAGTGAATCACAGCGAGCCTACCTTCCGCCAGGCCCTCACGGACGGTCTACCTCGCTGCCGTTACTTGCCCACAGTTATACCACATGCCTGTACACACATGCACATTCTGGTCTGGATCCAGGCACCACCCTGCATGTAACAGGAAGCACAGTGCCAGGCATGGGACTGGGGGCTGCAGAGGGCGAGTGATGGAGCACATGCCAGAAGCTTACGACACCCCACGTCTGAAAGGCGTTTCACACGCCCCAAGGAGCCAGCCTTGGAGGATTCAGACGGCAGAGTACACCCTCTCGATCTGCAGACGACCGCCTGCAGTCTTGCCCTGGTCTGCACTCACTTGTCACTGGAGATGCTGCAGTCTATGACCGTCTTCCTGCTGGTATTGATGATGATAAACGGCAGCTGGATGGTGGAGTTCAGAGCTGGAGGGCCCTGGTTCTGCTGCTCATTTTGCCGATTCCTCTGTACCAGGTTTTTGAAAGCGATTTGCTGTAATGATCGATAAAAAAGAATATAGTGATTATTATGGATAAGTGAGGTGGAATTCAATGAATTAAGATAAATACATTTAAAATATAGTTTAAAATTAGAGAGTTTAAAGTGACCTTCCACCTATAGGTGAATTAAACATATAAGAAAAGATTAGGATAATCCGATTCAATAAATATATTCCAAGGGGAAAACTATATATTTAAATGGTGTCTACCATATCCTAATGTAAATAATGGGGCCCATGGTTTTTGTCAGCCACAGAAACAGGATCTTACAAATCGGAGAGCCCAGTGGCACCCGCAGCTCCTATAGTGAGTGATGCATGACACCGAGTGAGCGTTTGTTTCCACTCATCTAAGACTCCCGAGAGTTCAGGGTTAAACACATCTTAGACTGTCTAGCCCAATGATAGGCAAACTTTCTAAAGCTACAGAACCCTTTCTTCAAATGACATCTGTGAGACACCCACTTTATGAGACAGATGAAAGTAGCGTTGCTGCTGGCGGCTTGGGGCCAGGCGTCCTGAGCCCAGCCAGCTCTGTCCTCATTTGCCCCTTAGGCTCCTCCACAGAACTAAGGATCCTTAGGACACAGTTTGGAATCTGGTCCAAACCTCTCCCCACCTCGTATCTTCCAGATGAGGAAACTGAGGCTTAGCAGTGATGATAAGCTGTATCAGGACCTGAGTCTTTACATCGAATCTTGCTTTTATTTAAAATCCTTACTTAAAAGTCAAAAAAAGTGGCCCCCCTTTTTAATAAGGCAAATGCATCACAGAATTCCACGGTTAGAAGAACCTCGCACAGCTCAAGGTTTTCATCCGCTCAGGAAACAGACACTGGTTTTAGAAGTTCCTGGAGTCAGAGCCGTTCACTCCCTTCCACCAGCTGGTTCCATCTTCTCACTCACTGCTGATAAATTGAAGTTTTCTGTGTTTTAGCAATCTTATCCTAGGGCTGTTTATTTTAGGTTCTGGGCCTTAACTAAAGTTTGATTAAGATTATTATTATCTTAAAATGGCTGGGTACTATCTCCTTAGAAAGTGAACATTTACTTTTTTAAAATGCATAAAACAGAAGGGACACGAATTTATTGTAGCCCTAACAGTGTGTCCAAAAATCACTGTGAAAAAACTATCACTAGGTATACCATTATCAAATATTACGTAAGTCATACTCCATTATTTTCTGCTGCTAAGTAACAGGCTATTTTATAGTTATTGCTTAATTCATTTATTATTGAGGAAAACATGCTGAAACTGTAAAACTGAGAAAAAGAATTATAAGTTTAAATACTTCTGCCTAGCTTCTCTTCTAGTAGAAAAAGCACCTTGGGAGATACTCCCGTACCTGTCCTGGCCTTGGCCACAGTGCCACGGGAGGACCCTGATATAGAGGGGAACACAAACAGTGATAGAGTTCTTATAAGTCTAGGATTCACAGCTTGATACTGCATATTTACTAGCATCTACGATTTTTCAGGGGAAGGGGAGCAATAAAAACACATAACGTTATTTTATTATTATTATTATTTTAATCCTTACCCGAGGATATTTTTTTCCATTGCTTTTTCAGAGAGAATGGGAGGGAGAGAGAGAGAAACATCAACGTGAGAGTGACACATTGATCGCTGGCCTGCAACTGAGGTATGTGCCCTGGGCTGGAATCGAACCCAGGACCCTTCAGTCTGAGGGCCGATGCTCTAACCAATGAGCCAAACCAGCTAGGGCTATAATGTTATTTTTTAAATTAAAAAAAAAATTCTCACCGGAGGATATATTTTCCACTGCTTTTCATGGGGGGTGGTAGAGAGAGAGAGAGAGAGAAACACTGATGTGAGAGACACATGTCGATTGGCTGCCTCCTGCACACACCCTGACCAGGGCCGGGGACAAGCCTGCAACTGGAATCAAACCTGGGATCCTTCAGTCCACAGGTCAGTGCTCTAACCACTGAGCCAAACTGGCTAGGGCATGATGATATTTTGATAGTAAAAAGAAAAACCCCCTCTCCCTTGTTTTGGCCTGATTTCCTTATTTGTCGCCTTTTGTTCTTTTCCAGGCTCATTAACCTGGAGGTATTCCGTAATCTCACACCATTCCTCTTCTACATTATTAAGAATTAAAAGAGCCCGGCCGGGTCTGGCTCAGCGGTTGAGCGTCGACCTAGGATCCAGGCGATTGGGGTTCGATTCCCGGTCAGGGCACATGCCCGGGTTGCGGGCTCAATCCCGTCAGGGGCGTGCAGGAGGCAGCCGATCAATGACTCTCTCATCATTAATGTTTCTGTCTCTCTCCTTCTCCCTTCTTCTCTCTAAAATCAATAAAGATATATATTAAAAAAAAAAAAAAAAAAAGAATTAAAAGAGGTCGTAAGCCTGCAAGTGTAACTCACCTGTGCCATGTGATGTCAGTGAGTTGTGACATTAACTGTCAAAAAAAAGTTAAGCTAGCTCAGCCATGGCAAATTGTGAGGGCTCAGGGACAACTTGTTTAATTTACTTCCTATGGCAACTTCATCCACGTTATTTCATGAAGGAAAGAAAAACCAAATGCTAGGAGGAAATAAGCTATGTCTACAGAAGTAGTTGTTTTCAGTTATACTTTGGGCTTCATTTCAATAGAGAGACCTGCTTTTATAAATGTTGACAGCTAGGCTGCCCCGGGTTGAAATCTTTTATAAATATTTGGTTTGAGAGACCATAGAGGGGGAAAAAATTTAGGACTTAAGAAAATACACATATGAGGGTGATCTTGGCTAGCACCGTTCTTTCTGATAAACACATAATTAGAAGTATACAGAGGAAGAGATTTTTAAAATAACATAGGCCAGCCCTTCTGGCCTGGCTCAGCAGTTGAGCATTGACCTATGATCCAGGAGGTCACGGTTCGATTCCCAGTCAGGGCACATGCCAGGGTTGTGGGCTCGATCCCCAGCAGGGGGCGTGCAGGAGGCAGCTGATCAATGACTCTCGTCATTGATGTTTCTATCTCTCTCTCTCCCTCTCCCTTCCTCTCTCTGAAATCAGTGAAGACATATTAAAATAATAATAATAATAATAACATAGGCCCAAACTCAAGCTCCAAAATGTTCCATGACACTTTTGAGGAAATCTGAGGAAGGCTCAGTTTAGGGACCATGGGTTGACAGGGAAATACTATAGCTAACTCTATAGGGGCAAGGACAATAGCAAGGCAGCCAGGACTCTAAGGGAGGAGCTGGAGGAAAAGGAATAAAGGGTCAGCTTTCAAGGTCTTTTTTAAAGCTTCAGAACACTCTCTTCAAACAAAATCTTATTTGGACAACCAATATGAAAAATACATAAAATGCTCCTCCAGCAGTAGGTCTCCCGGGATTCATTCAGTGTGAAAAGCAGCCACAGAACACAGAAAGGAAGAACTGGCCTATCAGGCGGAACACTTTCTCCGGGGCTCCCTATTTTCGGGAAATCTCTGTTCTACCTGCTGCTACTCCTCTGCCCTGGCCCTGCTGCCTTCTCAGATCGGACACAGATCTCTGGAAGGCTAAACGGTCTTCTCCTGCCCCTCTGGTTTATACACAAAGGTGAAAGAAAAACAGAAAGCAAATATAAGCATCTAGAAAGTGAAAAACAAAAACCTAGAATATTTAAGAATACTTAACACCTTCTCATCCATCAGACAAAGTGAATATTTTAGGGGGAAAAACCTGGTACCTTCTTGCTATGTTTATTTCTGAAAAGTGGATTGCATAAAAAATTAAATGACCTACAGTTAGTTGTTCAAATCGAAGTTGATTTTATGACTGGCTGAAAGCTTTTCAAATAAAGACAATTTCGGATAAAAGCAAAGGCACACTGGAGAGTTCTTCCCCGGGGAGCACACCCTGGCCACTCCTTCCCCCTCCTCCTTCCCCGACAGGCACGTGTCTCCTGAACTGTAAGGGACCCCACGAGACTCACAACCAGGGCAGCAATGGGCAGCAGCAGCTCGTCCTGGGCTAATTCCCTGAACCTGTCTCCAAGGCCCCCCTTTCTCTGACTTCCCAGTGAGCCAAAGCAGCCCAGCCTACACTCTCCTGTTGCTTCTTCTATGACCTTCCTTGTTTCACTGTCCTAAGTGTGTTTTTGCTGTGGCCAATAAATTCTTGCTGCCAAAAAAACAACAACCACACACAAAAAAAAAACAAAGCAAAAGCATAAAGATTCCCTGACTCATTTTATAAAGTTGTGGGGTTTTTTTACTGGATTGAAAACAGCTCCACTGTATGGCTCAAAGTGAATTTTTACACCAACTACAATTACCAAAAGTAGAAAAAAAAGTCCAACTACCCTGTGATTTTACCTCCCATAATTTTACATAAAGGCTCTATTATATTTTTTAAAATCATCCAAATTCTAGGCAATTATCCAAAAAAGTATAAATATAAGGATCCTTATTACATTATAAAATTTTATTTTATTTTAAACAGAAATGCATTTTAAGGTTTGGTATTTTTTTTACAAAGTTTATTGAGTATTGCATGTTATTCTCTTACAGATAATAAGTATTACAGGTGGATTTAATTATTTTACTCAATGTGCCTAAAATTTAACTAGCTTTACTTTTTGGTATTCCAAATTAGGATTTTAAACACACACACACACTCCGAATAGTTTCTGTTCAGAGTAAGGATAAGTGTCCAAATTAAACTGCTGTATAATATAAGTGACACGCAGGGCAGGTGAGTGGCTGTGTGGCCCTGATAATGGTGAGAGATGGAACCAGCTTGGAGACAGACCATGTGGATGGCAATGGGCTCGCATGTGAGGAGGCTGCCCTACTGTGGTCCCACCCGACACTACCTCAAAGGCACCCAAAGCAGGAAACACTGACTCTGAAAGCAAGTAAGCGGAGAAGCAGAATACAGGGAGGGAAGATAATAAAGCGCCCCAGCTTCTTTACCTGCAGAAGAAGCTCTTGCAGCTGGGCCCGCTTCTGCTTTATCCGTTCTATCCGCCTCTGCTTCTCTATCTTTAAAACATAGGTTACGAAATAACATGAATGCAGGCAGAGTATGAACCGCTGCTCATTTTCAGGTCCCAGTTCTGAGAGATCAAGAATTTTCTTTAGAAAGATGCAACCCATTTTAACAACCAACCTCAACAAAGGCAAGCGACACCTCTTTGGGGGCCAGGGGTTGGGGTAAGCGAGCAGGCGAGATAGCAGAACTGTGGGGATCAGTAATGAAATCCATCTGCTCAGTGAACACGTGGTGCGCAGTACCCGTTGCTATTTATTACCCAAGTTCCAAGAGAGTAAGAGCTAACGCTTAGGAACACTTACTCTACATGCCAGCACTCAACTCAGCACTCCACACACAGTATCTTAATTCATCTTCGCAAAACTCTAGGTATGAGGTAAGTACCGTTACCCATTTGCCTGTACAGAAATGGAGGCACAGAGGCTTAAAGAACTGCCCAAGGGCACACTGCTTAGTGCTTGGCAAGAACCTAAGCCATCTGGCTCCAGAGACCCTAATATTAATTGCTTTGCTATATTACGCCCACCCACCCCAAGAAGGAGGTAAGATCTCATTTAAGATCTCAGTTTAACGGACTTTTATTTTTACTTTAAGTTTTATTTATTTAAACATTTAATTAATTTGCTCCCCCCCCCCTCCACTCCCCGTTGGAAACCACATGACTGCTGGGGTCAAAGAATACACATAGTATTTGGGGCTTCTGAGACAAAGACCCCTTCAAAAGTTTTACCAATATGCTTTCTCATTAGTAAGCATATTTCCCAGTAACCCAGTGAGTACTACTCCTTCCAGGTGGTGCAAAGGACCTTCTAATGCTTCCATACTTGGCCCTGATCATACAGGAGTTAACTTTTAATCCTATACTATCTGGTATCATTTCCCATTTCACGTGCGTGAATATCACTTTCCTGACAAGAGAAATTATGCCAGATTTCTCTCTCCTTTTCCTTCTTTCTCCTTCCCTCCTTTTCTTCTCTTATTTATTTTATTACTGAGGTAAAATTGGTATTCTGTACTTTAACCAAATTAAATAATAAGCACAGCTGCTAACACAGGGAGTTTACATATTCAATATACAATTCTTACCTATAGTAAGAAACATGCTAACAGGACAAATTTCCCAGCTTCAAAGGACTAGTGTCCTCACTCTCACAAACTCCCTCGAAAACAGATCTGAGGGTCTGAATTTCTTTGCAGATGAGCTCCTGTCTCTCTGGGCAAAAGTCAGTGATGTCAAATGAGACGTTTTTCTTGTCTGCTCCGAGAGAGAAGTTCTTATTTGCTCCCGTGCACACTCGTCTGCACCAGGAGCTCCTCTCGCTGCTCCTCTAGCCACGGCCACACTTCAGTCCTCAGCCACTTTAGGCTGACTGTAAGATCTGTGTGGTCGCCTACAGTTGAAAAGATGCAGGAGCACTGCCCTGCGCCTGAAGCTGTGGCAGGTCAGGCCCCCCCGCCCCTCCTGCCCGCACAGGTTGGACTGATCCTACCCCACAACACTTCCCAACGTCGCTGCCCTGCCTGAGTGCAGGCCACCTCCAATGCGCCCCTCAACTTCCCTCCTCTTCCTCAGTTCCCCACCCATCCCACTAGCAGTGATCCTTCAGAATACATCCTGCCATCCCCTCCTCCTTCTTTATGATTCTCCGACAGCTTCCCCTGCTCTATAGGATCAGTCTCAACTGCTTAGCACTTAGGAACCTACCCCTCTCTGCCCGCCTGTGCCTGGCCACACCCAGCTGCGGGCATGCTTTCTGATGCCTGCCTCAGCCCGCGCAGGCCTCTGCCCCGAAGGCCCTCCGTGCCCCAAACCACTTGGCAAAATCCTACTCCTCCCTCATGACTAAGCTCAGGGAATGTGTTTTCTTGGTAAAGTCCCCCTTTATCACCCCGAAAAGCAGTAGTAATTACTGCTTCTTTCATAGTAGTAATTACATTTTTGGGAGCTCCTTTACATTTCTCCTCTCCATTACAATGAAAGCTGCATGAGTCAGAGATTTTATCTTGTATAATCTTTGGTTAAGCACATAGCTGATGCTAAATAGATTTTTGTTATCAGCTTAGCATTACCGTAATTAAAATGATCCTCAAATCTCTCCATCAGAAGGAGAAAATGAGGGCATTTTCACTGCAGCATATAAATAAAATGATTCTATAACTTCTGACAAATGTCTGCTTTCTCCCTCCATCCACAAGTATCATGACACCAAATAATGAAAAAAACATGAAATCAACCACAGCTTTCTCTATAAGCCATCCTGTTGCCACTGATTCTAGAGTCAAAGATAAAGTTTAAACATAAGAAATAACAGACATCTTCACCCATTTTTGAGGGGTCCATACAGCAAGCATTATATCAAATGAGATATTATTTCTATTACATGAATCACTAACAATTTATAATTAAAGTGCTCAGAATTAAATTAGAATAAAATAAAGATCTTCTCTAACAAACAGTAAAAATCAAGTCATTTACTTTCTGTGTCCCTCAGTTTCATCAGGACATCAGTCAGACTACATATCTCTAAAGTTCCTTCCAGTTAGAAAACTACATAGGAGAGTCTGTTAAAAAAAAAAAAATGATAGTGTACATAAACAATTAGAAATATTTTACTATTATGTGACTACATTTCTAATGTAAGTGCCTCTGATGTAAAATAAAGCAAACTACTTTTTATATGCAGATTTTCCTCACTCACCTCCAGGTTTTGACACTCCTGAGCAGAATTCGTAGGCAGGCCAATCCACTTGATTTCTTTTTTTTCTTTTGAAATTATGTTCATTGCCATTAGCACATTTAAAGCATCATAAACTCTTCGCCTAATGTTCTTCTGGTCATAAGCCTGCTAAAAAGTATTTTTATTAAGTGATAAAAGTTAAGATTTAAGATATAGTCACAAGATACTAAAATATTTAATCAATAATATTATTATAATATCTTCAAAGTACTGGAAGAATTCTATACCCAGTAAAACTATCCTTCAAAAGTAAAGATGAGCCTGGCTGGCATGGCTCAGTGGTTGAGCACTGACCTATGATCTAGGAGATTGTGGTTCGATTCCGGGTCAGGGCACATGCCCAGGTTTCGGGTTCGGTCCCCCGCAGGGTGTGGGGGGTGTGTGGGAGGGGGTGTGCAGGAGGCAGCCGGTCAATGACTCTCTCATCATTGATGTTTCTATCTCTCTGAAATCTATATCTATATCTATATCTATCTATCTATCTATCTATCTATATATATATAATTAAAGTAAAGATGAAATAAAGATACTTTCAAACAATCTAAAACATAAAATAATCTAAAAAAAATTAAGATTATGGTACCAACAGATCTAAATTTAAGAAATACAAAGGGCCTTTTTCAGGGAGAAGAAAGATGATCTAAGACTTTCATTACTAAACAAAAATAATAAAAGTAAATAAAGTATACATCATAGCCTGCAGGGTAGAAAAACAGCAAAAGTAACTACAAAAAAAAGAATATTAAATAAGATAAAAACAGAAACTAACTGCAAAATAGGAGGTCAGTACAAATCCAAGAGATGGTTCTTTGGGAAAAATAATTGCAAAAAATTTTGAAAACAGGATGAAATGGAGGATTTTCTAAAAAAACCATAAAATACTAAGCTAAGGGAAACAAATTCTAAAAAGACAAATTGCCAAAGAAGGAAAAAACGAAGCCTATCTAAGCTTTACCCCCCACAAATCACCAAGCCTAGATGGAATCACAGGTGGTTTCTATAAAACTTCAGGGACCAGAAAGAGACATCCAATGCTATTAAACCTGTAATGGAATAAAGAGAAAGAAAAAAAGAAAGCCTCTAAATTTATATTATATAGTCAGCATAACACTACTAATCAAAACTATAAAGATGGTAAAACAAAACAAAGTAAAACAAAAACCCACTAATCTCAATCATGACTATCAGTGTAAAATCCTAAATTTTCAGGAAACTATCCAGAATTTGATTGAATTCAATCACAATTTCAGATTTTTTTTAAACTGAGAAAAAAAGAAATCTCAAAATATACTTTTTATCATAACTAAGGTGAAATACTATAAATATTTCTACTAAGATCAAGAGTTAAGAACTCAATATGACTAGAGTTACTATTATTTAATATTGTTGTGGAGTACACATAATAGCACTGCATCTACATAAAATATAAACCGGTCTAAATGATAAAAAGCAGATCAGCAGTTGCCTGGGGAGAGTAGGAAGGACCTTTAGGGAATGAAGAAAATATTTTGTGTCTTTGTGACGGCAGTTGTTCCATAGGTGCACGTAACTGTCAAAACTCATCAAATTTTACACTTGAGATAAATACATCTTATTGTATATAAACTATTCCACAATAAATAAGGAAATAATGATATTTTAATTGTACACTAAGTACATGTACGTTTCCTCCCTATACGTAATTTTATCTCCATTGGGGGAAAATGAATGATTTGTATGTGTTACAAAAAAATCTCCACGATATATTGTAAAAAAGATAAAATTAAGAATGCAGTGTGCAAAGCACAATCACGTATGTGTTTAAAATAGAAAAGGAAGTAAATTTTATTATGTGTATGCATATAGAATCTCTGGAAGGATACTCAAGAATCCAGTAAGAGTGAATATTGCCTTTGGGGAGGCAGATTAGGTGGTAGAAAGGGAGATATTTTTTATTATATACTCTCTGGTACAATGGAATTTAAAAAAAAAAATCTATCTTTATTGATTTCAGATACAGGAAGGGAGAGGGAGAGAGAGACAGAAACATCAATAATGACAGTCATCACTGATCGGCTGCCTCCTGCACACCCCTAGCTGGGGATCGAGCCCACAACCCGGGCATGTGCCCTGACAGGGAATCGAACAGGGATCTCCTGGATCCTAGGTCAAGGTTCAACTGCTGAGCCACGCCCGGCAGGGCCTGAAATTTTTATTAACATGTTCAATGATAAGATAAAAATTTCTTCTTGACTTAGATATAGAAGAAATACTAAAAGCTTCAGAAATGTATTCAAAGTCATTAAAATATAAAAAGTATGTTTAAAAAAAAGTATTTTCCTTCAGTAACCCCCAACATTTATATTTCAAAAATACTTGTTCATCTGTATGTTGAAATAAATAATAAAAGAATTCTTTCCAAAACAAAACAAACAAAAAATCAACAACAACAAAAAATTCCCTACAGACATTATGAAACCCTCAAGTAAAGGAGGAATTGGGGATTCCCTAGCTTGTCCGAGTCCTCAGACTGATGACACAGCTACCCCGAAGAGGTGCCCCGCTGCGCCACTCATCACAGCGACGCGAGTGCATGCTCCGCCTACCGAGTCGGCTGCCAAATGGTTGTTGGAATTGGTGAACTCCGACACCAGCTCATCAGCTACTTCATTGTATGACGTTGTGCCTTTCCGCTGAACCTTCTCACACACTTTCATTGAAAAATGTCTCAAGCCTTTTCCATTTTTATCTCCTTTTTTGCTTCGTTTACTAAAAGAGAAAAAAACCCATATTTATACTCCATTATACTTCCTTAGAGACTTTTACAAAACTATAAAATAATGAGAAGACAGTAATTTGATCTGTTTCAAGTGGCAAGTTTTAACTGAATCAGAGATGAGGAAATGTTTTAAATTTAATTTTTACCTTAAAAGCCTAATAAAATATGAAGCTAGAGTGCTTCTCTAATGCACATCATCTATTTAGTCAACAAATATTCACTGACCGGTTACTTACTATTATATGCCAGGTACTGTTCTACATACTGGGAAGAACAGATAAAAACTCTGCCCTTGTAGTTTATATACTGGTCAATTCTTGTTTTTCTGTATTCTATATACTATAGTTCTTTTTCACCTAAAATTAAAAGTACCACTATTCTCAGTTTCATTTATCTACTCAATTTTCAAACAGAGGTTATTGGTATTAATAATGGATCTAAGTCTTCAATTATTTCAAGTTTGGTTAATGCATGCCTAGGCCTAAACTTTAACAACTTAATCATTAAAAATTTCAGGGGTTCAGCTTAGTTCTACTAAACTGAGGGCCAACTATATGCCAAGAACAGTATTGGTGACTGGCAGTACAAAAATAACTGATGCAAAATCCTTTCCCCAGTGAGTCATGGGGGATGGGAGAGGGACAGGACAGGCAAAGAATGACAAACAATCCAATATAATAAGGTAAGTGCCAAGTCAGAGTTATTCACAACATTTTGTGGGAATTGAGGGGACAGACATCTAGTCTAACCTGGAGGGGAAGGCTTCCTGGAGTAAGAGTCAACTGAAAACAATCAACACAATGAAATGGCAACCTATGTAACAGGAGAGAATATTTGCAAACCTTTTATTTTATCTGATAAGGGATTAATATCCAAAATATCCAAGAAACTACTACAACTCAATAGAAAAACAACAACTGACTGACCCAATTAAATAGCCAAAGAACGTGAATAGATATTTCTCCAAAGAAAACTTACAAATGGTCAACAGGCATATGAAAGGATGCTCAACATTACTAATCATCAGGAAAATGCAAATCAAAACCAGGTATTACCTCACACCCATTAGGATGGCTATCATAAAAAAGTGTTGGTGACAATGGAGAGAAATTAGAACCTTTGTATACTGTTTGTGAGAATGTAAAATGGTACAGCTGCTATGGAAAATAGTATGGAGGTTCTTCAAAAAATTTCAAATAGAACTACCACATGATCCAGCAATTCCACTTCTGGGTATATGTCCCAAAGAACTGAAATCAGGATCTCAAAGAGATAGCTGCACCCCCATGTTTATTGCAGCATTATTCACAAAAGCCAAGATATAGGAACAATCTAATTGTCCATAAGTGGATAAAACAATGCAGAAAATATGGTATAGCCCTGATTGGTGTGCTCGGTGGTTAGAGTGTCAGCCTGCGTACCAAAGGGTTGCGGGTTCGATTGCCAGTCAAAGGCAGGCACCTGGGTTGCAGGTCCAATCTCCAGCCCATTGGGGCACATGCAGGAGGCAAGCAATCGATGTGTCTCACATCGCTCTTGCTCTCTCCCGCTCCCCCTCTCCCTCCCTTCACTGTCTATAAAAATCAATGGAAAAAATATCCTCGGGCGAGGACTGATAGAAATAAAGAAATAAAGAAATAAAGAAATAGGAAGGGAGGAAGGGAGGAAGGGAGGAAGGGAGGAGGGGAGGAAGGG